CGCTCACTAGGATAAAACATTCTAGTTCCATGTGCCATGTTTAAGGGATGTCAGTTAACTCCTGTTAATTCCTCTCGCTAAGTACTCCACTGCCATGGCACAGTGGATAAAGCCGTTAGTTATATCCAGTGACAGGACCCAAAGAGTGTGAGTTCAATACCCGGTTAAGGAATGAGAAGTTATCTTTATTTACATTAATTTCAGATTATTGTTCTCGTCTTTGTTGTTCTTATCACAACGTTTCGGCCGTTGTGTCTTCTGTTCTTCATCAGGGGTATAAAGATCTGTGTCACTTACAAGGAATTCTAAATTCTTCGTGGATATACTGTTTTCGTCTGTACTACCTCCGCGATGGTAAATCACATATATCCAGACAGCTTTCTCGAGAACACTTAATTTGGAGACAAAAATGGCTAATGTTCCAGAGAGGTATATTCTTTGGCATCATCATTCTGGGAATCTTTACATCAGCCTAACACAGTGTTTCACAAACATTTTTTTTTTAACATCAAGGCTCACTTTTAGAATAAGTAAAAATCTAAGCGCAATTTTTAATTAATAAAAAAAATTATACAGGAAATTTGAAAATAGAACATTTTGGTTTTAGCATCCCAAAAGAGAATTAGCGTTACAGATTTTATTTAGAATGATTTATGAAGAATCAGTTTTTTTTTTTTGAAGAGGTCGATATTGACTGATGTAAATCCCACGAGGAAGACAATAGGAAAATGATTATCCACGCTTTCTTAAGGATTAAGTAATTTAGCATCTTGTTTAAAATATCAAATTTCAAAGACATGACTTACACATCGAAGCCGTATTTCAAGCTATTTATATATAAAGATGTTTTAAATATAGTAATACGTTGTAAATTGTTTTTTTGTTTGCTTTTATTTTTTTTTGTTGTTTTTTATGTTTTTTTCTTTTTTGGGGGAGGGGGTGGCTACTTGGAACGCACTAGGTTAACTTTTAGGACCCATTATTGTTCCCAGACGCACTTCTTCAGAAATGTTGGTCTTAATTGTCTCGATGATGGGCAAGGATTTAAACATAGAATATGATTATTTTTGTTTTTTGTAGTTTTTCAACCATATCCTAATTTGGCATGAGGATATGGAACTGTATATTCAATATAAAGAATATTTTTCCTTTTCTTGTGCCATTTCCCTTCAGGAAGTAAGCTATCATAGCTCTCCTTAACTCGCTTTCTTCCGTAGCTCTTAGTAAGGTGTGTTTTACGTCATCTCTCTCAAACCCAGCTCTGCCACCCATTTACACGAGTTCGTTCTCTGCAGACCTCTTTCCGTCACTATGTCCTGTGAGTGCTAAATTCTCCAAACCGGCTTTCCATATTATGCGTCCTAGACAATTTTAACTTTCTGAATATAAATATAAGCGTCTTTTTTTGTTTTCGAGTCTGTCTATATTTCTGAGTTGAGGTATTATGTACATTATTTACATTATTCGGACTATTGTTCTCATTTTTGTCGCCATATTTATCACAACGTTTCGGCCGATGAACGCTCCGGCCTTCATCAGGTAGTTGGAATTTCAAACTGAACCCTTTATTTCTCTCACTGGGATAGACTATTCTAGTTCCACGTGCCATATTTGATGGATGTCAGTTATCAGTTATCTCCTGTTAATTTCCCTCTGAAAGTTCTCCACCGGGTATTGAACTCACACTCTTTGGGTCCTGTCACTGGATCTAACCAACGCCTTTATCCACTGTGCCATGTGTCCTTGTTTTCGTTTTCCTTAAGACTTAAAAGGTAATCGCATGTCCAATCCATGGGGTTATTAGCATCCTTCTGCCACTATTCAATTCTCGGGACGATATTTCTTGTGTCAGTAAATTGGGTAACACTCATCTCTCTATAAGAGGACTAATATCACATAACTGTTTCGTATACATTTCTAAACTTCTAACAAAATGTTCCTGTTTCTTAATATTTTGACTTGCATCTGGAAGATATCAATCACTATTCATATTACGCCTAAAGATTTCGGTGCCATATTTTCCTTCCTCTGTTAAAATTCATCTCAGATATTTGAAGTTGCGTGCTTAATTGATATGATATCTCATTTCCAAGTTCGCAATTTGGGCTGCTCTTGCTAAGAAGCACACATTGTCTTCTTACAGGTGATGGTTAGTCTTTTCCTTTCGCCTTTTGTTACTTAATTCTGTAGGAGGTCATGTAGTTTCCTCTTTTTTCTTCTATCAACACTGTATCATCAGCTTACCTTAATTTGTCGACTAATGTTAAATCGTAAAACGACTTCTGATTCTCTCGTGGTCGCCGCGCTGTAAACGCTGGATATGGTCTGATGAAAAGACGCGACCCTCTTTCTCTTTTTGTCTATTTACTAAGTTCATTTTCTATCTCTAAACATGTGAGAGTTGTAGTTTCCTGTCTGTGTCTACTGTCTGTTACAGTTTCTTCATAACTACGTAACGCCATTTTAAACTCAGTGAAAGTTAATTGTTTATCTTTTTGAGTAATAACTGCCCTGAATGGTTTGAATGTCGGTGGTAAACCCTTTAAGACCATGGCTATTAGCAGCCCATCTGAAATAGTCTCACCTGCAATTTTTAAGGCATTTGTGACATTCTCAGCTCGGATGATATAATCTGTTATAAACTCATTTTCTCGTCTCTTTAATGCGGTTAGTTCAGTATATAAAGCAATAATTTTAGGCTTACCTTTTGACAAGTAGTGTTCACGCAAGATTTGTAGGGCTCGCTGTCCATTGTCCTTGGCCCCTCTCATTATTAAAGACAAACTCCGGTCATCCAGGAATTGTATTAGTTCAGCGAACACGGTCGTATTTCTTTCCATAAAATCATCATCCCCCTTCTGGTCGTCTTTGCAAAGGATGATGCCATGGAGTTTTTGTATTCTGAGTTAGCCTAAAAACTTCGTCTCCCATAATTGACTCATTCCCGTCAAAATATAGTCGTGATCTGGGCTCATAACCAATGTTATTCATCATGAGGGTCGTCTTCGAAATTTTAAGTGAGAAAATTTTAAGTGAGAAAAACTTAGCGTTGCGTCTTTGCACGTTCCAAGATCTTACACAACCGTCAATAATAGCAGATATTCAAAAAACATCTTTCGGTCGACATACAGGTATATCGTCTCAAGTTTTTGATTTTATAAGGAAAAAAACACATGCCTGATGATGAATAGAAGACTATTCGTAAGTACTAGCATTTTAACATCAAATAAACTGAAAACTACAGACAACAAGTTTATCGACGAGGATCAAACTTGCACTATGGATGAACAGGATTTTAATGCATATATTATGTTTTCTAGCGATGGATGTCGCCAATAATCGCATTAATACTTCTGATTGATTCTATGTGTGATTATTTCTTTGTATATATATATATATATATATATATATATATATATATATATATATATATCAGTTAGATCCATTTCAATAACCCAGTTATTATGTTACTCTCTTTCTTTTTTTTTTTCCTATAAACCCTGTTCCCTCCTCTTCTTAAACTATGTCACACACACACACACGCGCACACACACACACACACACACACACACACACATATATATATATATATATATATATATATATATATATATATATATATATATATATATATATTAGATAGATAGATAGATATTCTACACAAATGAAAAGTATCAAATATTTGTCCGTCCTGCCATTTGTCTATTCTGTCATTTTCCCGCTCGACTAACTGTCCATATAACTAAATGGTCGGCCTGATAAATTATATTCGGGGAAGTGTCCTTTGGCTAAACATCTGTCAGCGAAGTGACCCGGAGCCGATTAAAATTGACAGAAAGAGAAAAGCTGATAACTCATGAGAATATTCCTAGATAAATACCAATAAAATGAACGAAGTTAAAAAGGTTTACCCATCATTATCAGCGTGTCTGGAACAGAACCAAATAGTACACCCAAGAGATTGGAAGGGCTGCGCATTCGAAGAATGGTTGGCGTTGCTACGACCTACGTTGTTAGTAAGAAGGCTGGTTAATGTTTATTTTGTTTTACGATATATCATCTTAAATGGCGACGAGATTTTAGGGTAGGCTATGTATGAACATAATATGTCTTTGCAAGAATTCACTTAGTAGATCAGATTTCACTGACGTATTTTTAGTAAGAAGGTTTTGTCGATAATCAAATGTATTGCTGGTAATGTTTTTTTTTGTTATTTTCAAAAATGTATTGATGGTATTTTTACTATAATTTTTTTTTACTTTCATAGTGTTTTGAGCCCAGTTTAGGAGTTAATTATTTGCACATAGTTGGAACTGTAACAGGTGCTACCGCCTCCGATCAGAGTAAACCTTAGAATATTCATTAAGTGGTATGTTCCACGCTCTTCAAAATATCCTGATCAGAAGCCTTGCTGCCGGATGTAGTTTATCGTCATACCCAGGACGAAAGAAGCGGTAGCTCAACCCTTCCCTCACCACATATTTGGTAAAGAAGACGAATATATGAATAATAATAATAATAATAACTACGAAGGAAGTCGTTCCGAGTGCTGAGACATCCGGTGAACTTTTGTCTCTTATCGTTGCTTACAAGGTATTCTCAGTTTCTTCTGAAGAAGATCACGAGGAAATCAAGTTGAAACACTGATTCTTGCTTTGTAATACCAGGTACCGTACGCTTGGATGTAGAGCTGGTGTAATGATTATCGATATAAATCGGAAACCGGAGAGCCGAGTTCATATTACTGTTAGGTTCGTTATATTCGCTTCCACGCAAATACCCTTGGGAAAGGTATGAATCCATCTCTTCTACCTCCAGCTATGGGTTAAATAGTGGAACTTGTATCAGTAAATCATTATTATCTCCCAAAATATTCTTACATTATAAAATCTAATTTCTGTTTTTAAATAATCTGCAAAAGGTTGATAAACCGTAAAAAACAAATCAATCAATCTTCTGTAGAACCACATCTCTGTTGTTTCCAGTCTTTTCTTCAGCATTACGGCCATATCATTTGAGATACTGATTCTCGTACGCTCATCGAAATTAAGCAACATCGAGCCTGGTCAGTACCTAGATGGGTGACCGCTTGAGAATTTCAGGTGCTTTAAATTTGAATATGCGGATCGTACAATAGAAAATGGCTGGGAATTGAAACTCGGAAAGCCGTGTTCCAATTCATGTCGGGTTCGTTATATTCACTTACACGTAAATACTATTGAGAAACGTGTGAATCTATGGGATCAGAAATATGATTTGTATCGGTAAATCATTATTATCTACAAAAAGGTTCTTTATAATCTAGAAATATTTTCTGGTTTTACGTAACTCGCAAAAGGTTGGTAAGCCGTAAAAAATAAATCAGTCAATCAATCTCTTTATCTGTAATGAAATGTCCTGCATGCAAGTTATGGTAACTGGACTCTCCCAGCTATAAATAGGAGCAGGTACTGCCTTTTAGGGAGCGAAGTTTCCAGCAGTCAGCTCTGATAGTCGGACTGACATTCTTGCTGGAAACACTCTCATTTGCATATGTTTTTGTATTACTGTCTCTGCTAATGTATTTGTTTAACTCAATTCCTTTCTTATGTCTTTATTTCTGGCCCCCAAAAAGCCACAACAGTGCATTACCATATAACAGCCTGTCCTGGGTATGACGATAAACTACATCCATGTCCTGTATAAGATGATAAACTACATCCAACAGCAAGGTGGTTTTGAGGAGCGTTCCCAGGTCCACCCTGACCCGAGGTTGTAGCACCTGTTAGGGTCCCAGCTATGGGAAAAGTGTTAACCTCCAAACTGAGGTGAAAACACTCTGAAAGTGTAAAAACCGGTTTTAATACCAGCAATATTTTTTTTGCTAAAGAATTACCTGCAATACATGTTTGTAAAAAAATTACCAGTAATAAAAATTTTGTCGGCGTTAAATAACACATTGAGGTTGATGTGCTGTAAAATAAACCAAACCAAACCAAGTCATATGACAGGATTTATGTTACATAGTGCACAAAAGAAAGAAAGAAAGAAAGAAAGGAAATAGAAAAGAAAAAAGAAAAAGTAACAGGCAACAAAGCACAAAAGTAAGAAAGAAGGGATAAAAGGGGAAAAAAAATGAAAGAAAGAAAATGAAAGTCAAGTAGCGAGGAAGAAAGAAAATACGAATAGAAAAGGAGAGAAAAAAGAAAGAAAGAAAGAAAGAAAGAAAGAAAAAGTAACAAACAACAAAGTACAAACGAAAGAAAGAAAACAAAGAAAGAAAAATGGAAGACAAGAAGCAAGAAATAAAGAAAAAGCGAAAAGGGAAAGAAGTAAAAATAAAGAAAGACAGAAAAGTAGTACGCAAAAAAGCACAAAAAAAGTAATAAAAAAGAAAGAAGAAATAGAGAAATACCGGAGATAGAAAGAAAAAAGGAAGAAGGAAAGAAAGATATTAAAATAACAAAAAATAAAGAAAACAAAAAAAGAAAGAAAGAGAAGGAAAGAAAGAAAGAGAAGGAAAGAAAGAAAGAAAGAAAGAAAGATGGGAGACATGTAGTAAGATATAAACAAAAGCGAATGGGAAAAGAAAGAAAGAAAGAAAGAATGAAAGAAAGAAAGAACAGTGAAATGGAAAAGAAAGAAAAAGAATGAAAGAAAATAACAAGCAACATATCACAAAAGAAACAAAGAAACAAAGAAACAAAGAAAGAAGAGATAAAATAAAATAAAAAAAGAAAATGAAAGACAGTAGCAAGAAAGAAAGAAAGAAAAAGTGAAGAGGAATGAGGAGAAAAAGAAAAAGAAAGAAAAAAGAAAGGAAAGTAACAAGCAACAAAGCGCTAATAAAAGAAAGAAAGAAAAAAGAAAGAACGAAAGAAAGAAAGAAAAAAAAGAAAGAAATATAAATAAATAAACAAACACAGAAAGAAAGAAAGAAAGAAAGAAAGAAAGAAAGAAAAGTAACTTGCATGAAAACAAAAACGAGAGAAAGAAAAAAAAAGAAAGAAAGAAGAGACAAAGGAGACAAAGAAAGAAAATAAATGAAAAAGAAGAAAGCAAGAAAGCAAGAAGGAGAAAAGCGAAGACGAAAGGAAAGAACAGTAAAAAGAAAGAAAGAAAGAAAGAAAATTATAGTCTAGTGTAGAAGGAAATAAATTGATAATAATGAAGACTGCTTAACTGACAAAATAAAAAAGAGAGAAAGAAATCTTAAGGCAGTTAGATAACGAAATATAAAAACTTAAATTTAATGAATAAAGAAAAAAAAAGTATCCTGCTATAAATATTAAATTAATTAAAGCAGACGACGATTGGAGACATAACGAAGAGAATGACAAATTTGAAAAAAAAAACAAAACAAAAAAAAAACACGAAATAAAACTAAAAAGCGAAAATGACGCATTATTGTAAACCCTGGAGACTTGCCTTGCCTAGGGACACCGAATCACGACATTATGTGTTGCTGCTATGATTTCCCTAGCAAATAGGTTTTTACGGGTGGGGGGTCTAGTTTCATGCGCAGCCGGTTTTGAATACAATACTGTCGTTCTACTAAGACTAGTTGCCTAGCAAGGCTAAGTAGATTAGTTTGCTTTGGTATTAATCCTGAATCGTGAAAGAAAGAGATGCATTCATATCTTACAAACATATATGCGGCCTTCTCTTGAATTTGAACCCTCACGCCAATGCCGATTCCAGTGTATAAGACCACTACACTTGGCGCACATCCTGAAAATGTGATAGGCTTGCTATTAAAAGAATGTAAACTCCATGAAAGAAATGCGATAGACTGAAAGAATGAATGAATGAGTGGAGAAAGAAAGAGAAAATAAATCAATGAATAAGTGAAAAAGAATTCAATAATGAATGAATGAATGATTAAGCGAAAAAGGAAAGAATAAATAAAATAATGAATGAGCGAAGAATGAAAGAATAAATAAATGAATGAGTGAAGAATGAAATAATAAATAAATGAATGAGCGAAGAAAGAATGAAAGAATAAATAAATGAATGCGTGAAGAAAGAAACCGAGAATAAACGAATGAATACGTGAAAAAAATGAAATAATGAATGAATAAGCAAAGAAAGAAAGAATACATGAATGAATGATTGAGTGAAGAAAGAAAGAATAAATGAATGAATGAAGGAAGGAAGGGAGAAAGAATAAATGAATGACCGAAAAAATTGAGAATAAATGAATAAATGAATGAAAGAGTGAAGCATGAATGAATGAATGAATACCCGAAGAAAAAAATAATAAATGAATGTATTAATGATTGAAAGAAGAAAGAATAAATGAATGATCGAAAAAAGAAAGAATAAATGAATGAATGAATAAATTAAGTAAGAAAGAATAAAGGAATGAATGAATAAATTAATTAAGAAAGAATAAAGGAATGAATGAAGAAAGTAAGAAAGAAAGAATAAAGGAATGAATGAAGAAAGTAAGAAAGAAAGAATATATGAATCAATGAATAAATTAAGTAAGAAAGAATAAAGGAATGAATGAATAAATTATATAAGAAAGAATAAAGGAATGAATGAATAATTTAAATAAGAAAGAATAAATGAATGAATGAATAAATTAAATAAGAAATACATGAATGAATGAAGAAAGTAAGAAAGAAAGAATAAATGAATGAATGAATAAATTAAGTAAGAAAGAATAAAGGAATGAATGAATAAATTAATTAAGAAAGAATAAAGGAATGAATGAAGAAAGTAAGAAAGAAAGAATAAATGAATGAATGAAGAAAGTAAGAAAGAAAGAATAAATGAATGAATGAAGAAAGTAAGAAAGAAAGAATATATGAATGAATGAATAAATTAAGTTAGAAAGAATAAAGGAATGAATGAATAAATTATATAAGAAAGAATAAAGGAATGAATGAATAATTTAAATAAGAAAGAATAAATGAATGAATGAATAATTTAAATAAGAAAGAATACATGAATGAATGAAGAAAGTAAGAAAGAAAGAATAAATGAATGAATGAATAAAAAAGTCAGAAAGAATGAATGAATGAAGGAATAGAGAAAGAATAAATGAATGAATGAACAAGTGAAGAACGTATGAATGAATGCCCGAAGACTGAAGGAAAGAATAAATGAATGAATGAATAAATTAAGTAAGAAAGAATGAATGAATGAAGAAAGTAAGAAAGAAAGTATGAATGAATAAATAAAATAAGAAAGAATGAATGAATGAATAACCTAAGAAGAAAATCAATCAATCAGTCAATTAACATAGACTAAGTGAATGAATGAAAAAGTAAGAATATAAGAAAATAAGTTAATCGGGACAATAAAAATAAATTCAAAGATAAATTATAAAGAATGGCTTCGGAATAAATAGCAAGGAATTATAATATGTAGTTTAATTAAAATAAATAAGCTTCAAAGACAGGGGGGGAAAATCGTAATAAAAAGAAAACAGTGATCAAAACAAAATGGTGAGGATACTCGTCTGAATAAGTCATAATTTGATGACAATACTTCACCTCAGAAATTTAATCAATGAACCCAGATTCCTTCTTAATTTTCAAATATTATATTTTTTAATTTTATTTTCTATTTATTTCTTCCTTCATTCCTCATATTTCATTCCTATTAGAATCTCCCCCTTTCTACCTTTCTTTTCTTTTTCTCTCTTTTTCCCTCTCTTTCTCTTCTTCTCTCTCCCTCTTTCTTTCTCTGTTTATTCTGCCTGTCATTTCTCCATAGTTTCTCTTTCATTCGTTACTTTTGTCTCGATAGATTTAATTTTAGCTCCTTACCTAAAGAAGACTCGTTCTTGGGAATTGGTAAAGAAGGAAGAGATTAATGCAATTCAATTAAACCCCTATTTTATCTTTCTTTTAATTACATCTTGCATAACGTGAATGTGTGGCAGAGAAAGTAAAAAGTGATTTTTTCCGATCGAGGCAAAAACAGAAAAAAAAAATTCAATAATTACACGATATTCAAACTATTAGTAACAGAAATAATAAATTATATGAATAGAAAGTTGAGGAAGAGATTATAAAATCGTGATCAAGAGACTGCAAACAAAGAATTGCCTCCTTATTGATATGGTAGTCCCTACAGACAGTAATGTATCTTTGAAGATCTTCAAAAAACTATCGAAATACAAGGACCTTGAAATCGAAATCACAAAAATATGGCACATGAGGACATTAACAGTTTCAGTTGTCGTTGGAGCCTTCTAATTTGTGGGAAAAGATTCCAATAGGTTTAATAATGGGATTTCTGGTAGCCTATACCTTAAAGAAATACAAAAGTTTGCTCTCACAAGCACAACTCACACTTTACGATAGGCTTTATCTATGTAAAATATGTGTGATTTTTTTTTCAAAACTACACAGTGGAAAATACCATGATGCCATTTCTGACCTTAAGTCTCTGGTTGGGATCCGGAAGGAAACGGATTTCCAAAGGAAATAATAATAATAATAATAACAACAACAACTACAACTTCTACGGGAAGGAAACTGAAAGAAAATGGTATGAACACCACCCAGACCCGGTTACAATTCTATGGGACTACACAATATACACTGACAGAACAATCAAACCCAACCCCCTAGATATTGTTATTAAAGACCACAAACAAAAAAAGTGCCTCCTTATTGACACGGCAGTCCCTGCGGACTACAGTGTATCTTTGAAGATCTTCAAAAAGCTGTCAAAATACAAGGACCTTGAAATCGAAATCTCGAAAATGTGGTACATGAGAACATCAACAATCTCTTTTGTAGATGGAGCCTTAGGATTGGTTAGAAAAGATTCCAGTAGACTAATTGAAGGGATTCCTGGAAGTCCATGCCTCAAAGAAATACAAAACATTGTTCTGACAAGTACAGCCCACACTTTAGGAAGGGCTTTATCTGTGTAATTTTTTTTTTTTTGTCAGTGGAAAGTGTCATGATGCCATTTCTAACCTTAGGTCCCTGGGCGGGACCCGGAAAGAAATGTGTACACACCAGAAATAAAAAAAAAAAAAAAAAATAATAATAACAACTGCAACTTCTACGGGAAGGAAACTGAAAGAAACTGGTATGAACCCCACCCAGACCCGGTTACGGAGATAGGACCTGTTACAATTCTATGGGATTACACAATACACACTGACAGAACAATCAAGGCCAACCGCCCAAATACTTTGAAGATCTTCAAAAACCTGTCAAAATACAAGGACCTTGAAATAGAAATCTCGAAAATGCGGCATATGGGAACATCAACAATCCCTGTTGTAGTTGGAGCCCTAGGACTGGTTGGAAAAGATTCCAGTAGACTAATTGAAGGGATTCCTGGAAGTCCATGCCTCAAAGAAACACAAAAAATTGTTGTGACAAGTACAGCCCACACTTTACGAAGGGCTTTATCTATGTAATTTTTTTTTTTTTTTTTGTCAGTGGAAAGTGTCATGACGGTATTTCTAACCTTAGGTCCCTAGGCGGGACCCGGAAAGAAATGTGTAAACGCCAGAAATCAAAGGAGATAAAAGTAATTATAATAATAATAATCATAATAATGGGAAAGGAAACTGCAAGAAGTTGGTTATGAACTCCACTCAGAATCGGTTAGATAGAGCTTGTAAAAATTTTATGGGACTTTACAATACACACAGACAGAACAACCAAAGCTAATCGCCAAGACATCGTGTTTAGAAACCGCAAAGAAGGAATGTGCCTTCTTATTAATATGGCAATCCCTGCCGACGGCAATGTATCATTGAAGATCATCAAGAAACTATCAAAATCGAAGAACCTTTAAATGAAAATCATAAAAATATGGCACATGAGGACATTAACAATTCCTGTTGTAGTTGGAGCCCTCGGATTGATTGAAAAAGATTTCAATAGACATGTTGATGGGATTCCTGGTAGCACGTACTTTAAAAAATACAAGAGACTTGGAGACATTTTTTCGGAGGCGAGTAATCAGATTTGGCACAAAATAGTAATGATAATAATAATAATAATAATAAGAAGAAGAATCAAGGACAGGACAAACAAAGACAGGATCGCCCAAAGCTAATGATAAAAGACCACAAAAAGAGAAATTACTTTCTTATTGATATGACATCTCCTGCTGACTGTAATGTATCTTTGAAGTTCTTCGATAAACTTTTAAATTGCAAGGAACTTAAAATGGTTATCTGAAAGGTGTGGCACATGGAAGATATCAATAATTCCAGATGTAGTTGGAGCCCTAGGTGTGATTGGAAAAAGTTCTGATAGACTGATTGAAGGTATCCCTAGCAGACCATGCCTTAAAAATATACAAATAATTGTTCTCAAAACTAAAGTTCATAGCTT